CTCCTGGGTCGTCTTGTAAGAAGAAAACTGGCAGCCACTGCTCCTGGGTCGTCTTGTAAGAAGAAAACTGGCAGCCACTGCTCCTGGGTCGTCTTGTAAGAAGAAAACTGGCAGCCACTGCTCCTGGGTCGTCTTGTAAGAAGAAAACTGGCAGCCACTGCTCCTGGGTCGTCTTGTAAGAAGAAAACTGGCAGCCACTGCTCCTGGGTCGTCTTGTAAGAAGAAAACTGGCAGCCACTGCTCCTGGGTCGTCTTGTAAGAAGAAAACTGGCAGCCACTGCTCCTGGGTCGTCTTGTAAGAAGAAAACTGGCAGCCACTGCTCCTGGGTCGTCTTGTAAGAAGAAAACTGGCAGCCACTGCTCCTGGGTCGTCTTGTAAGAAGAAAACTGGCAGCCACTGCTCCTGGGTCGTCTTGTAAGAAGAAAACTGGCAGCCACTGCTCCTGGGTCGTCTTGTAAGAAGAAAACTGGCAGCCACTGCTCCTGGGTCGTCTTGTAAGAAGAAAACTGGCAGCCACTGCTCCTGGGTCGTCTTGTAAGAAGAAAACTGGCAGCCACTGCTCCTGGGTCGTCTTGTAAGAAGAAAACTGGCAGCCACTGCTCCTGGGTCGTCTTGTAAGAAGAAAACTGGCAGCCACTGCTCCTGGGTCGTCTTGTAAGAAGAAAACTGGCAGCCACTGCTCCTGGGTCGTCTTGTAAGAAGAAAACTGGCAGCCACTGCTCCTGGGTCGTCTTGTAAGAAGAAAACTGGCAGCCACTGCTCCTGGGTCGTCTTGTAAGAAGAAAACTGGCAGCCACTGCTCCTGGGTCGTCTTGTAAGAAGAAAACTGGCAGCCACTGCTCCTGGGTCGTCTTGTAAGAAGAAAACTGGCAGCCACTGCTCCTGGGTCGTCTTGTAAGAAGAAAACTGGCAGCCACTGCTCCTGGGTCGTCTTGTAAGAAGAAAACTGGCAGCCACTGCTCCTGGGTCGTCTTGTAAGAAGAAAACTGGCAGCCACTGCTCCTGGGTCGTCTTGTAAGAAGAAAACTGGCAGCCACTGCTCCTGGGTCGTCTTGTAAGAAGAAAACTGGCAGCCACTGCTCCTGGGTCGTCTTGTAAGAAGAAAACTGGCAGCCACTGCTCCTGGGTCGTCTTGTAAGAAGAAAACTGGCAGCCACTGCTCCTGGGTCGTCTTGTAAGAAGAAAACTGGCAGCCACTGCTCCTGGGTCGTCTTGTAAGAAGAAAACTGGCAGCCACTGCTCCTGGGTCGTCTTGTAAGAAGAAAACTGGCAGCCACTGCTCCTGGGTCGTCTTGTAAGAAGAAAACTGGCAGCCACTGCTCCTGGGTCGTCTTGTAAGAAGAAAACTGGCAGCCACTGCTCCTGGGTCGTCTTGTAAGAAGAAAACTGGCAGCCACTGCTCCTGGGTCGTCTTGTAAGAAGAAAACTGGCAGCCACTGCTCCTGGGTCGTCTTGTAAGAAGAAAACTGGCAGCCACTGCTCCTGGGTCGTCTTGTAAGAAGAAAACTGGCAGCCACTGCTCCTGGGTCGTCTTGTAAGAAGAAAACTGGCAGCCACTGCTCCTGGGTCGTCTTGTAAGAAGAAAACTGGCAGCCACTGCTCCTGGGTCGTCTTGTAAGAAGAAAACTGGCAGCCACTGCTCCTGGGTCGTCTTGTAAGAAGAAAACTGGCAGCCACTGCTCCTGGGTCGTCTTGTAAGAAGAAAACTGGCAGCCACTGCTCCTGGGTCGTCTTGTAAGAGAAAACTGGCAGCCACTGCTCTGGGTCGTCTTGTAAGAAGAAAACTGGCAGCCACTGCTCCTGGGTCGTCTTGTAAGAAGAAAACTGGCAGCCACTGCTCCTGGGTCGTCTTGTAAGAAGAAAACTGGCAGCCACTGCTCCTGGGTCGTCTTGTAAGAAGAAAACTGGCAGCCACTGCTCCTGGGTCGTCTTGTAAGAAGAAAACTGGCAGCCACTGCTCCTGGGTCGTCTTGTAAGAAGAAAACTGGCAGCCACTGCTCCTGGGTCGTCTTGTAAGAAGAAAACTGGCAGCCACTGCTCCTGGGTCGTCTTGTAAGAAGAAAACTGGCAGCCACTGCTCCTGGGTCGTCTTGTAAGAAGAAAACTGGCAGCCACTGCTCCTGGGTCGTCTTGTAAGAAGAAAACTGGCAGCCACTGCTCCTGGGTCGTCTTGTAAGAAGAAAACTGGCAGCCACTGCTCCTGGGTCGTCTTGTAAGAAGAAAACTGGCAGCCACTGCTCCTGGGTCGTCTTGTAAGAAGAAAACTGGCAGCCACTGCTCCTGGGTCGTCTTGTAAGAAGAAAACTGGCAGCCACTGCTCCTGGGTCGTCTTGTAAGAAGAAAACTGGCAGCCACTGCTCCTGGGTCGTCTTGTAAGAAGAAAACTGGCAGCCACTGCTCCTGGGTCGTCTTGTAAGAAGAAAACTGGCAGCCACTGCTCCTGGGTCGTCTTGTAAGAAGAAACTGGCAGCCACTGCTCCTGGGTCGTCTTGTAAGAAGAAAACTGGCAGCCACTGCTCCTGGGTCGTCTTGTAAGAAGAAAACTGGCAGCCACTGCTCCTGGGTCGTCTTGTAAGAAGAAAACTGGCAGCCACTGCTCCTGGGTCGTCTTGTAAGAAGAAAACTGGCAGCCACTGCTCCTGGGTCGTCTTGTAAGAAGAAAACTGGCAGCCACTGCTCCTGGGTCGTCTTGTAAGAAGAAAACTGGCAGCCACTGCTCCTGGGTCGTCTTGTAAGAAGAAAACTGGCAGCCACTGCTCCTGGGTCGTCTTGTAAGAAGAAAACTGGCAGCCACTGCTCCTGGGTCGTCTTGTAAGAAGAAAACTGGCAGCCACTGCTCCTGGGTCGTCTTGTAAGAAGAAAACTGGCAGCCACTGCTCCTGGGTCGTCTTGTAAGAAGAAAACTGGCAGCCACTGCTCCTGGGTCGTCTTGTAAGAAGAAAACTGGCAGCCACTGCTCCTGGGTCGTCTTGTAAGAAGAAAACTGGCAGCCACTGCTCCTGGGTCGTCTTGTAAGAAGAAAACTGGCAGCCACTGCTCCTGGGTCGTCTTGTAAGAAGAAAACTGGCAGCCACTGCTCCTGGGTCGTCTTGTAAGAAGAAAACTGGCAGCCACTGCTCCTGGGTCGTCTTGTAAGAAGAAAACTGGCAGCCACTGCTCCTGGGTCGTCTTGTAAGAAGAAAACTGGCAGCCACTGCTCCTGGGTCGTCTTGTAAGAAGAAAACTGGCAGCCACTGCTCCTGGGTCGTCTTGTAAGAAGAAAACTGGCAGCCACTGCTCCTGGGTCGTCTTGTAAGAAGAAAACTGGCAGCCACTGCTCCTGGGTCGTCTTGTAAGAAGAAAACTGGCAGCCACTGCTCCTGGGTCGTCTTGTAAGAAGAAAACTGGCAGCCACTGCTCCTGGGTCGTCTTGTAAGAAGAAAACTGGCAGCCACTGCTCCTGGGTCGTCTTGTAAGAAGAAAACTGGCAGCCACTGCTCCTGGGTCGTCTTGTAAGAAGAAAACTGGCAGCCACTGCTCCTGGGTCGTCTTGTAAGAAGAAAACTGGCAGCCACTGCTCCTGGGTCGTCTTGTAAGAAGAAAACTGGCAGCCACTGCTCCTGGGTCGTCTTGTAAGAAGAAAACTGGCAGCCACTGCTCCTGGGTCGTCTTGTAAGAAGAAAACTGGCAGCCACTGCTCCTGGGTCGTCTTGTAAGAAGAAAACTGGCAGCCACTGCTCCTGGGTCGTCTTGTAAGAAGAAAACTGGCAGCCACTGCTCCTGGGTCGTCTTGTAAGAAGAAAACTGGCAGCCACTGCTCCTGGGTCGTCTTGTAATTAGAAAACTGTCAGCCACTGCTCCTGGGTCGTCTTGTAACTCATCTTTCATCTGTTCAAGGCACCCTCATGAGTCACTCAATTCCCTATATTTATTTTTTTTACGACAGTGCAATGTTGCCTCTGGTTAAGAGAACAGGTTGGCCCTTAACGCCAATGTGATAAAAATGTGGGTGAAGATAGCAACGTAAAGTTCAAGGCAACGAGTGGCTTCAGCTTAGCCTGGTTGGCTGCAAGAGTAACAAGTCCGTCTCAATATTAGCAGACGGAGGACCGAGCCTCCGCCCCCCCCCTCCTCGCACTGAATGGCCCCACACGGATTTTGCGCATCATATACATTGTAAATTCAGCCCACAAGCAGACACAACGTGGAAAGAGGTACAGTATGTATACTATCACTGTCAATGCACTGGCTTCAGTGACGCGGAAGTTAGTTGACAGTGTAGCGACAGAATCAACAGTAGAGCCTTTGAGAAACACGATGAAGATTCCATCGGAGAAGTTATTACGGTCTTCTATGAGATTTCCTCTTTCCCTCCCTCTCTCTCCTCCCTCTCTGATCAGTGAGCATCACACTTTGGTGTACTGAGATGAGCGTTTATTAATATTCGAGTCATTCAGGTGAGCTTTCTCAAGGAAGATGCACTTCAGAAAGCTTACATGTGTGAGACACGCTGTGTAATTCTATAAGAATATAAAGGAACACTGCCGTAGGCCTACTGGCCGGTCACAGGCAGGTCTTTATGCAATCAGGACCATCTAACTGGAAAAATTGTCTAACACATTCTTCTTGTGTATTTCTATACATATTCCTCCATTTTCTCGAGTAATTTATAAGTTACTTTTCGCCTTTTTTTTACTAAGATAATAATCTTTATTTCTACGAGTACATGATACAACTTATACAGACCATTGCTCAAAATCAGTGACATACTATATAGAAAGTCCCTGGTTATGCAGAGCATTTCGGGCAACTTAGGTTAATTTTGTTCCCAGGATGGAAGGCTAACACCCAGGTACCTACTTACTACTAGATGATCAGGAACAGTAGGTATCTTAAGCAAACACCACCAATGTTTCCACCAGTACCGGGGATCGAACCACGGACTTCATTGTGAGCTGAGTTCACTACTAACCGAGCTACGGGATACATTGTTAATAGACTTTCTTTCCTCTCTCCACAGGGGTGGTTGGTGCTGTATTTCCACGGCTGGTCGTGGCGTTGTCACGGCTTATGCTGGCTACGACGACAGATGGCCCCACCCCGACGACTAGACGACCTCTCCCTGCCCCTCACAGCCCGCTACGACCACGACCTCGCCCACCAGCCTCTCCTCCCACCCCACGCCCACCCAGCAGTCGCCCACCCAGCATCCGCCCCCCACCACACCGTCACCGTGGCTCCCCCAGCGATGTCATCTCCCCCAGTACACCCAGAAGAATTCCCCCTCCAGCCTCTATTTCCCCTACACGAGCGCCGTGAAACCTACTGAACCTCATCGAAGCTTCCGCGCCCATTCAGCGGAGGCTTCGTCGAAGCTATTGAGAGAGAGGAAGCTTTTATAATGTATAATGCTACGCTAGTTAGGATTGTGAATCCTCGTCACTGCGGCAGTGACCAGGGCAGTCACTGCGGCAGTGACCAGGGCAGTCATTGCTCCAGTGACCAGAGCAGTTACTGCGGCAGTGACCAGGGCAGTCATTGTGGCAGTGACCAGAGCAGTTACTGCGGCAGTGACCAGGGCAGTCAGTGCTCCACTGATCTGGACAGTCACTGCGGCAGTGACCAGGGCAGTGACAGAGGCAGTTACTACTCCATGAGGCTGACCTGAAGGCAAGAAATCACTCAGATTATGTAAGGAATATACCTACTGTTTTTTTCTGGTGTGGTTAACACCGCAGCCACTGTTACATTATGAAATACCACAACCACTGTTTGACATCATCCACCACCACTGACATTATCCAATACCAATACCATTAACATTATCCAACACCACTGACATCAAACACCATGGTCTCATTAACCACTGGAACATTACCAACCAACCACCGTGACACCGAACACCGACAAATGACATCAACCACAATCACAGTGAACACTATTGTTAAACCCAGTGACGTACATTAACCACTGTGATACCAAACACCACTGTGACAGCCACCACCTAACACCCCTACCACTGACTACCCACTAACCAAACACCAGTGGGTAATAGAGGTATTCTTAGCAGAAACTGCTGACTAGAATACAGCTGTATATACACTGCATACAGTGGCAGATGCTGTTGTATTATACAGTATGCCACTAGTGGCACCACGAGAGTGCCACTGACTAACACCACGAGAGTGCCACTGACTCGCCAATACCACGAGAGTGCCACTGACTCGCCAATACCACGAGAGTGCCACTGACTCGCCAACACCACGAGAGTGCCACTGACTCGCCACACCACGAGAGTGCCACTGACTCGCCAACACCACGAGAGTGCCACTGACTCGCCAACACCACGAGAGTGCCACTGACTCGCCAACACCACGAGAGTGCCACTGACTCGCCAACACCACGAGAGTGCCACTGACTCGCCAACACCACGAGAGTGCCACTGACTCGCCAACACCACGAGAGTGCCACTGACTCGCCAACACCACGAGAGTGCCACTGACTCGCCAACACCACGAGAGTGCCACTGACTCACCAACACCACGAGAGTGCCACTGACTCACCAACACCACGAGAGTGCCACTGACTCACCAACACCACGAGAGTGACACTGACTCACCAACACCACGAGAGTGACACTGACTCACCAACACCACGAGAGTGCCACTGACTCACCAACACCACGAGAGTGCCACTGACTCACCAACACCACGAGAGTGCCACTGACTCACCAACACCACGAGAGTGCCACTGACTCACCAACACCACGAGAGTGCCACTGACTCACCAACACCACGAGAGTGCCACTGACTCACCAACACCACGAGAGTGCCACTGACTCACCAACACCACGAGAGTGCCACTGACTCACCAACACCACGAGAGTGCCACTGACTCACCAACACCACGAGAGTGCCACTGACTCACCAACACCACGAGAGTGCCACTGACTCACCAACACCACGAGAGTGCACGACTCACAACACCACGAGAGTGCACTGACTCACCAAAACCACGAGAGTGCCACTGATCACAACACAGAAGTGCCCTAACACAGAAGAAAAATAAACTTACCAAAAAATCTCTCCGGGGTAAAAAAAAATAAGCATATATTATTATTTATAACAAGTTTGGCGTGTGTATGTACGTGTGTGTACGTACATGTGTGTGTGCGTATGTGTGTGTACGTACGTGTGTGTACGTACGTGTGTGTACGTATGTGTGTGTGTACGTACGTGTGTGTACGTACGTGTGTGTACGTACGTGTGTGTACGTACGTGTGTGTACGTACGTGTGTGTGTACGTACGTGTGTGTGTACGTACGTGTGTGTGCGTACGTGTGTGTACGTACGTGTGCGTGCCTACGTGTGTCATCACACGAAGGTTACTTTAAAATTTCCAGTCAGAACAAGTGTAAATCAGGGTAATCAGATCTGTGCTCTGATTTACACTTCAGGGAGCTAATATTAAAAAAAAAAAATACATGGAGTTACCGAGTGCCGAGAGTGCCGCCTTATGTTCTCTTAAGAGTGCAGGTTACTACTAATTTTTCCTTGTGTTCCCTTCAAGGAGGAGAGAAATATCTTGGTGTTGGTGAATAGCTCTTGATTCTATGAAGTGGAGCTACCCCTCTCCTTCTTCGGATCAAATCTCTCTCTCGTGTTTGGCTCGGCTGGCTGTCATGGGTTTATAGTTTCCCCTTAAAAACTGAGGAACGGTCTGGTCTGGGAAAAGATACTTGTGTATACTTCAGGATATTTGTTCTAGGGAACGTTTCGCCACTTGTGGCAAAACGTTCATTATAATGTCCTGAACTGTACGCGTCTTTTTCCACACAACTGTTTCTTCAACTAACTATTCGAGACAGGTATTCCTGTATCTTGAAAGCCCAGCCCTCTCTACCTCAAAGCAAAAAGTAAGAGTACAGTGCACTTAAGAGGCTTCCCCCATCTTCTAATAGCATGTTCATTTTTCCATTATAATCTATCTTGTCCCTAATTACTATCACATTTGCTTTGTGTTTCGTAAGGTGAATTTCAGGATCTTTCCTTAATTCATGGTATAACTTAAATCTTTGAGGACAGTTATGTTGCAGAGGTCCGAGCAAAACTCGGACCTCTGCAACACAAATCCTGAAGCTCGGGAATGTCCATAACCCTAGCGTTTATAAACTATGTAGAACTAGGCCATACAGAATGCGAAAAGGACTCGGGGGTTATCGTAAGCAGCAACATGAAGCCGAGACAGCAATGCCTAAACGAACATATTAAAGGCAAACAGATTTCTGGGATTTGTACCAAGAAGTATAAGCACCAGGAGGCTAGAGGTTATGCTACAGCTCTACACATCAGTAAGAGCCTCGCTTAGATTATGCAGCTCAGTTCCGGTCTCTATTACAGAATGGATATAAATTCGTTAGAAAACATTCAGTGAAGAAATCTTCCTTATGAAGATTGAAATCCCTTAAATTACATTGTCTTGTAAGACGAAGAATAAGGGGAGACATGAATGGTCTTGTGACTTGATAAAGCCCAATGTGTGGGCGACACGTGGTCAATACAGAATGGCACTAATGTCTACTTTGCCAGACCATGTTCATCAGTAGAGCAGGTTGATGAAGTAATCAGAAACTGCACTGACAGGGCCCTTACTGACATCATCCTCAGAATGATGACGAATGGTCTGTAACTGCAACAAATTTCGTGGCTTCCAGTATACCGTAAAGGTTGACCTTGTGTGCCAAAATATTGAAGGACGAACTAGTTCATCCTCTCCTTCCATTCTTCTAGTTAGGTTACCTCTATTTTAATAAATGTTACAGTTTCCTGTGACGAAATGGACAGTTGCTGTGATAGACGTAACAGGTACTGTGAGAATACTACCTTCTTGACCCTCGTTATCAGTACAGTGAGAATGTCAGGATCTTGAGTGTGTCAGAGGGGATCGAATGGTATTGGTTCTCGCTCACGAAGGCTACAGTCAGGCATACGAACACAGCTGGTTAGGTGGAAGAGTAATTTGTACTATACCAGTTGCGCTCACTGTAAATGTTAAGTCCTAGTCGCTGGTGGTCAGGATAACCACCTCAGTGGTCCACACTAGTCGCTGGTGGTCAGGATAACCACCTCAGTGCTCCACACTAGTCGCTGGTGGTCAGGATAACCACCTCAGTGCTCCACACTAGTCGCTGGTGGTCAGGATAACCACCTCAGTGCTCCACACTAGTCGCTGGTGGTCAGGATAACCACCTCAGTGCTCCACACTAGTCGCTGGTGGTCAGGATAACCACCTCAGTGCTCCACACTAGTCGCTGGTGGTCAGGATAACCACCTCAGTGCTCCACACTAGTCGCTGGTGGTCAGGATAACCACCTCAGTGCTCCACACTAGTCGCTGGTGGTCAGGATAACCACCTCAGTGCTCCACACTAGTCACCAGTGGTCCTGATAACCACCTCACCGTCATCTAGATAACTGTTAATCTTACGATTACATGAATCCAGAATCTGCCAGAAAAAATTCTTGTAAATATTTTTAGTCCCCCATTAAATTTCTGACACCGGCCGTCACCCACCCAAATAGGCTAATTATAAAATAAAAATAGGATTTACATATATATTCTTCCTAGTTTAGTCGTAATATATTTTTAGTGTTTTTTATTGATTTTTTTTATTGATAAATTCTCCCTACAAGGGCTCTTGATCTGAGGAATTGGAGCCCCCGTCTCCTCCCTCTGATCAAACTGATTGCATCCCATTCCCAGGCGCTGCAACATTCCTACGGGTTTAGTGCTTCCCCATTAATCCTGTTTCGCAAACTATAAGATATTCAGTTTTTAAACGATGCAAAACGCTAGTAAACGCAAGTTTTTAGACAAGTACAACTAATGCGACATATTATTGTGGCAACATTTCGCTCTCCACGAGCTTTTGTCAAGGTAACGTTTCGCTCCTGGAGAGTGAAACGTTTTACCTAAAAGTTTCACTTTACTTGCCATGTTTCTAAGGTGAATTTCAGGGTTTATACAGTGTTATAAATTCCTCTCCATTGAAAGGCTGTTCTTCACTCCAAGTTCTTTAATAACTGATACGTGATGGAGTGTTCTTACCTGTGACGAAGACCACAGTGTTCTCACTGTTCCCTGTGAGAAACTAGAACACCCTGGAACAACATTCTTCCCTATGACAAACTACAGTATTGCGGTGCTTAAATCGCCTCTGAGATGTTATAAATCTGACTCGGGGAAGTACAGATTGCGCACCTGAGACTAAAAAATATACAACTATATGACAACACCAGTGATACAGCACTCAGTATGATACAACACTCGATACAATACTCGGTATGATACAATACGGCAGTACTGCACAACACCAGTGATACAGCACTCAGTATGATACAACACTTGATACAATACTCGGTATGATACAATACGGCAGTACTGCACAACACCAGTGTTACAGCACTTAGTATGATACAACACTTAACACGGCAGTACTACACAACACTAGTATGATAACATGCGACGACACAAGTGTTACAGGTGAATATAAAACCCAGAGAAAAAACTCATTAACATTATGTGCTCTTCTTCAAAAGTCTAATTCCATGCCTATTATCAAGATCAATGTTAAATTTGCGAAGAGTAAACATGTGTGGTTCATTTAACAAAAGTTCTGAAGCTCTGAGTAGAAGGTTGACTTCCTCCTTCATGGACTAAGCTTGGGAGAGTATTCACCCCCAGGCACGATCCAGGGTATTTTCCCCACCACCATGGGAGGACCGGTGTAGTGGGGAGGGAGGAAGAATGAAAAAAAATGTACAATAAAAACTTCGGTTAAATTCAATCAGTAAGCACGATTGTGCAAACACGAATTGCTCTGGGCCATGCGTTGTTGTTCCCAATAAAGTCGAGAGACCAAGCCTAGCCAAGCACTGGTTCATTCTGCTTTACACACACACACATACACACACACACACACAGTATGCAACACCAGTATGGAACCCACACCTGGTCAAGCACGTCAAGAAATTATACAAAGTGCAAAGGTTTGCATTAAGACTAGTCACGGAGCTAAGGGGGTATGTCCTACTAGGAGAGGTTAAGGGAAATCAACCTGACGACACTGGAGGACAGGAGAGAGGATTGACATGATTATGACAAAATCCTACGAGGAATTGACAAGGTGGACAAAGACAGGATGTTCCAGAGACGAGACACAGCAACAGGGG